CTTGGAAGGTGATACCACAGCTTATTTGGGCAATATTTCTTGATGTTACAATGCAACATAATAATGCAGTTTCTGTATTACTGTATTTAAATTGTTAGTACATCTGTTTACTAGCACAGTTTATTATTTTACTTCACTAGTGATGTATTTGGTGGGTTGGAGGATTGTGCCATCTTCACTACATACCAGAACAGTAAAAAAATAGAACATTATTGGAAAAAATTCCTACGTGTATCTTAACATGACTTGATTTCTATTTTGCAAACAAAATATTTCTCCCAAGTACATGAGGGGTGAGTTTTGGTTTTGTCATCCTGAACTCTACAACAGTTTCAGCAGTCATGTGGTGAAAGGAAGTCTTACTTTTGTGTGCTCTGTGCCTCAAAATATCATGCAAGGCAGATGGCAACTTTGAAGGCATAGTCCTGGCAGCCATATCCAATGCAGTGGAATAGTAAGGGGAAAGGGATGGGAAGAGGCTGAACAAACATAGTGCCGAATTGCTTTACTGTGGTAATAGCAGTTTATGAGCACTGAACGTTTTTATTAAATAAGAGTTTTGAAAAAAATGTTTCTAATTATTTTACACTTTCTTTTAAAGATAGAATACTTTCTGTGGTTTTAAGTGTTTCATTAAAAAAAATATTTCCATTTGTATTATCTTGCATCTCTGTAGTTATTCCCTTTAATAAATCTGTACATGCATTTTGTGTCTAGTTGGTTTACAATACCAAGCACTATATTTCTTACTTAAACAGTGGAATATTTGTGATGGTTGTTTCTTTTTTATAGTATTTTGAACGTCTAAATGACCTAGTAGCAGCACCAGCACCAATTCCACCTCTGCTTGTATCAGGAGGACCAGGCTCTGGGAAATCTCTCCTTCTGTCAAAATGGTAGTTTAAACTAATATATTTGTTTTAGTTAATGAAATTTAAGAAAACTTGTGTTTCATTTTGTTTCAAACATCATATCAGTTTAATTAGAGGTAAAATGGGAGTATTTACAAAGCATGGAAGTTCTTGAAGCATCCTGGAAGGACTTTTAATAATTGAGTAGCTAATTCCATTTGGACTGCTTTTAACAACTCCCTGACTCCAGTTGCGACACCATAAAGATAAATTTATAGTGTCATTACTTCTTAAAAACTTAGTGTCATGTGACTGTCCAGTGCTAGGAAGGGCACTTGTTAATGACTGTCTGTGCTGGGGAGAGCAAAAGTGGGATCTGACATGAAGAGTTCAATTATAGCTCAGGAAATGTCTATCCTGCTTTGTAAGATAAATACAGAACACCTATGGCTCAGACACCCTTATCTCTTTGGCAAAACTGGTTGTTTTTATTTGAGATATATTTGCAAAATTATAGTCTGTTAAGTGCTTTTTGTTGTTTTTTTTCACTTCTCTCATTAGGATTCAATTGCAACAAAAGCATTCACCAAATACTCTGATCCTTTATCACTTTGTTGGAAGGCCCATGTCTACTAGTTCAGAATCTGCATTGATAATTAAACGCCTCACTTTAAGGGTAAGCTGCATTATTACATACCCTGTGTTGTGTGATTCATTGGAAAGTGCCAGTGTGTGTGTGTGAAAAGATAAAAATCCCAACAGATTCTTCTACATAAGTGAAGAGTAGTACAAATGTAAGGCATTACAGAATGGGTAGAGTCAGATCCTGTGCAGTGAATGGAGATCAATTAAATAACATCTCTGGGATATTCGTAATAGTGGACATTAGCGCTTATACTTTGAGTGACCTACATTGATGGCTTGTAAAACCACATGAGCTTCTTCGAAAATTTTCTACCATCTGGCCAGTGAGAGAGACAGGTGGCATGTCTTCTGTCAGTGTGCTCTGAAACCTGAGGCTGTGTTCACTAGTTGGCGCCATGTTCTTCCTAGGCTTGTCTCCTATGTTCATTTAATTTTTTTAAATTGTGTGTTAGATATATGAGGAATAAGTGTGGAGTCTTTTTTTGCCAAGGTCTGAGGTTTCCCTTTCCTTCACAGGGTTGCACTAAGGACCTCACCTTTAGGACCAAAACCTTTAGAAAAAGGAAATAAATTGTGCTGTTCTTGCAAATTTCTCATGTATTTTAGATATGTGCCCATTTAGCCTGTACAGCTTATAAGCCCTTTAGTTTCCTTGTTTATTGTGTAAACTCAGTTTATCTCTCTAGAATTAACACAATGAGTTCAAGAAATATTTCTTGTTCTGCATATGCCAGTTTTCTGCATATACTAGGAGAGAATCCTGTGTGAACTTAACTAGAAAAATTGCCCCAAAATCAGATTAATTTTTTTCCCCCTCTCATGTCTACAGAACTTCTTCCAACTATCCTAGTTGATTTTTAAGGTCAAATTTGTTATACATGTTCATAATTCTGCAGCTTATGCAACACTCGTGGTTAGTGTCACCTCTAACGTTGGATCCAGCTAAACTTCTGGAAGAGTTTCCCCGCTGGCTGGAAAAGCTTTCTGCACGACACCAAGGCAGCATTATTATAATTATTGATTCTATTGACCAAATACAGGTATGTTTTCAAAATACTTGCCATTTATCAGTCTAAATGAAGCCTTAAATATTGTAATAGGTTCAACTGTACCTATGTAATAGAAATGTTAATGTTTGCTCTAAAAGAGCACACGTAGATGTGTTAAAATAAGTCTTCCATTTTTATAGACAAAGTTTGTGTTGGGTGGTTTTGTTTGGGTTTATTTTCCTAAATTTATTTTAACACCTTAATTTTTGAGCAGCCCAGCTATTTATCCAGAGGTTCGGGGCTGTGAACTGACTTACTGGGCCTGTAAATAGCCTGGTCTTTGATGTGATTACTTCAACAGTAACATTCTGTCTGCTTTAATGTACAGTCATGCTGATACATATAAATAGGTCATTTAGTACTGTTTCAAGAACAAAAGCTTGAACAAGTTTTAAGGACACTGGAGAATATAAGGCTCCTTTCACTGAGCTATGCAGTTAATGAAACCTATCAATTTCTGGCATTTCTTTTGAAGAACCTTTGTATTAAGTAACCCAAATTTGTTTTTAAGCAAGCTGAGAAGCATATGAAATGGCTGATAGATCCACTGCCAGTGAATGTGAGAGTGATTGTATCAGTGAATGTAGAAACGTGTCCACAGGCTTGGAGGTATGTTGTATTTCTGAGATGTTTCAAAGTAGCCTGGGTTAGAATTACTGCTCCAAGTGGCAGTTACTTGTTAAAGAGCAAACAGCCAGATTTGACAAGACCTGGATATTTAATAGGATAAGGTTTTGCAACCATTGAGGACAACCAAAGTGCTGTATTACAACTGCAGTGAAGACGGATTTTGGCTGTTGTGAAACTGGATTTTTGTTTTACAGTGTTTGCTCTATCTGCTTCACTGTGAAAGAGTCAGGTGCACATCGAGAGCTTCAGTACTGTCTTGCAGATCCAGGATAAGACTAAGAGTAGACATTTGGCTTGTGATGACAGTAATTTCTTAGTAGCAGGGTACAGCTTCAATTACTGCTTTGATACCAACCTTAAAAAGCTCTGGAACTTGGATGTCTTTTTTTTTTTTTTTTTTTTTCTTTTGTGTGCTATGTAGTAAGTTCTGAATATGATTTTGTTCTCTCTTACCAAAGGTTGTGGCCCACTCTTCATCTTGATCCACTGAATTCCAAAGATGTTAAATCTCTCATTAGTGCAGAATGTGACTCTGCAAATGTTAAATTGACCAAAGAGCAGGTATGTCTGCTGCAGTTCTTCTAAAGTACCTTACTGTAGTGTAACTTTTAATAAAAATACGGAAAGAGTAAATAAGCCCAACTGCCCAAGTGTTATATTTAGCTAACTAAATGCCACTGTTCAAGATAGCATGTGGCATGAGTATTTTTTTACCCCATGGCTCATAGCACCAAAACACAGATGGAATAGCATAAATTATTAACACAAAAACAGTACTGTTGCACATACTGCTGCAAACTTCTTATTTCATTTTAGAATAATAGAAGGTTTACTGTTGCATCATACTCTAACAGTGATTGGCTAAGTGGGGAAAAATATTTTACCTCTTTGCCTTGGAAACTGATTTGGTAAGGTAATCCTCATCTTTAGAGACACAAGGGTTAGATTCTAACTCTTTTAATCTTATATTCAAAAGGAAACTTTCACTCAAATGCAGCTCCATCTTGAAAAACATGCAGCATATTGTGCAATAGTTATCATGTCATTGTCTTCAGATGTTATAGATAGAAGCTCATGTAGAACTTATATTTTCTTGTCAAGCAATGAACATTTTATTATTATGGTTAATTTTGTCTTGGCTCAGAGATTTTGTTTAAAATGTTGTAGGAGAAGAAGCTTGAGAGACATTGTCGTTCAGCCACAACTTGCAATGCTTTGTATGTCACTCTTTTGGGCAAAACCATTGCTTGGTAAGTAGAGGTGATCTTGAGATTATTATGCTGGTGACTAGATGTGTTCAAGTAGGTTTGTTAGTATTTTGAAATATGTTAATTTAACGTAGAATGAATCTTGTTAAGAAAAACATACCAAGGTTTCCCCCTTCAGTGACTATAAATACAGTGGGAAGAAAAATCAGAGAGTATATAATCACCATTTGGATATGAAGTGAATCCAAATAGTTTTCAGCTCTTCTGTTGGTGTGTTGTTTTGTATTGTTTTGTTTTATGTAGTTCTGCTTTCTGGGTATGTCAGTTGCTTCAATGCTTTTTAAAGGTATTTGAAGAATGTTAATATTGTTTTGTTAAACAGTTACATTCAGTTGTATTTACTGAAGTACCAGATAGTTTGCCTCAGATTTTTAAGGCTAGAAGAAGCTCAGCAACTGTTTAGCTTAAAATCCTGCATATGTTATTACTTAATAACTGCATTGGTTTCTTATTAACCTAGACTTCATCTTGTTGAGAAAGACACATTTTTAGCTTAGAGAGTCCCAGAAGATGATACACTGGTTGATAATTTACTCTGAGTGACTGATTTTCATTATTTTTTGTTTCTGTTTTATGTTGTAGAATAATTAATTGCTCCTGAAAACATGATTTGTAAATGCATTAAATGGAAAAGCAGCATGTGGTTATATCTTTATCCAACCTGATGCTCTTATTCTGTACTACTAGAGGAAAGAACACTGCAATGTACTTTTTTAAGATAAAAATATTGCATTTCTTTAGAAAGGTCAGACAGTGTGACAGAAGGTGGATTCAGGAATGCACCTCATCTGTGTTAAATCTCACCAGGTGCTGCACACCTTTTAAACCCAGTAGGAATTCAGAGTGCTTTTGAGATCAAGCTCTTCAGTAGTTTCAATTAATCATACTCAGCCAAATTTAATGTGCCAAATCATGCCCTTTTTGTCCTTCTGCTCAGTGTTGGAAATACAAGAAATATTGATGAAACCCTTCAACAGTGTTTTCAGTGTCAAGACACAGTGTCACTGTACAGGCTTGTTCTGAGATCAATTCAAGAATCATTGCAGAGTGATAAAGAGAAAGGCCTTTTGAGAGAGGTAAGCAGAGAATGCACCACTGTTTCCACAGGCAATATATATTCTTTCTGGTAAGGAGTTTTTCTTACATTGAAAGTACACATACATTTATGTTGGTTCATAGGTATAATGCAAAGATTACTGTGTTATTAGTACAGAAGGGACAATCTTATTAATCTAATTGTATCTGTTGCATACTTATGGAACATACATCTGCTTTGTGTTAAATTTCAAGTCATTGTCTCACATAACAGAATTTACCCACTGTGATGTGATACAGAACTTGCACTCTGTGCTTATCACTACCCTGATCCAATGATTAACTATGCTGAGCATAGTAAACATAATCAAAACATGGTAACTTGTGAATATGGGGCACTGCTTATTAGATCTCTGATTCCTGTTCCTACCCTTACAGAATTTCCCTGTTGTTTGAAACATTTTATGATTAGGACATAATAACTCAGTAATTCCTACAAGCTTGTTGATGCTGACAGCGTAAGACTTTCAGCATATTTTTCTTAAATGGAAGTTCCCTATGACAATGGAGTTATTTTACAGGGAAGTCTTAAGGAGCCATATGTTTGTCTCAGAGAGTCTCATTTGGTGGTTTATCTATTAGATTATTAATCCATTAGCACTAAGGGCTGTTATTTGAGGACCAAAGAGGGGAGGGGTTTGTGTAGGCAGGTTGGTTGTTTTTTTTCCTTGGCAGATAAGATTATACACAGTATTTTTCTTGGAAATTCAGTGAAACTAAGCTCTGCAGCAAATATTTCTAACTGTGTAAAATAATTTTCCTGCTTTATGCAGATCCTGTGTGTCATTGGAGTTAGCCACAATGGTGTGAGTGAGTCAGAGCTGATGGAACTTTATCCTGAACTGTCCTCTGCCGTGTTAGCCTCACTCGTTCACAGCCTGCACAAAATGTGTTTGCTGACATATGGCTGTGGTTTACTGAAGTTCCAGCACCTCCAGGTAAATTTTGTATTTCTAAACACGTACAAGTGAAACTCTACCCTCTAAGCACCTGCTGGCTTTGAGATAAGTTCTGTTGTTAACTAGGGAGGCCATGATATGTTTGTGTTTGCTCATCCATTTTCCTTAACACCTAGTCTGATATTAGTATCACCTTGAAAACTACTAGAGCTATGATATCAGTATTGGGCAGTACTGTTCAGCAATTGAAAACCTGGCATTTACAACCTTCAGAAATTTCTGATCTTTTAGTTGTTAATGCCATGTGTCCTTGGAAAAAAAACCACAACAAAACAACCAAAAAAGAACACAAGCAGAATTGAAGGAGAAGGGAATATTATCTGACTAAGCAGAGCTTTGGTCTAATTAAAGACAGTCTGTTTGTATTGCCTTTGTCATCATTGTCAGTACTACAATAAGAAACATCTTTCAAGAAGAACTCTTTCATAGCACTCTGTGTATCACCAGCACTTACTAAACAACCTAAATGCTCTCAATTGTACTCTCTTTAAGGCTTGGGAGATGGTGAGACTAGAGTATATGGAAGAAGGTGAAAAAGTTATTTCTACCTATAGGCAAAAACTAGTGGAGTATTTCACCATGCAGCTAAGGTAGGTCAGAATTCCACAATATGTGCTAAATTGCAGACTTTATGCCTCATGGATATTTTTGTTTTCTTCATATAGCTCTTTGACTCTGTTTAGTAAATTATAATGGCAAAATGCAAACCCCTAGTTGTCAGTTCAGCAATTTATTATTCATATGTTACTTTTTAACGTTGGAAAAGATTGAGGACTGTGGAGTGGAATAAGCATACAGTAGTTATCATGTGAGAAGGTAGAGTGTGAATTTATACCACATCAAATATTTTGTGGTAACTGACCCCATGTGGATTTTTAACTCCCTGTAAATCCGAGGACATTTGAAGTTGTTTGGAACTTGAAGAAGTAACAGAAGACCACTTGAGTTGAACAAGTAATCAGCAGGCACACAAGAGGAGGTCAAACATATACAACTTGAAAAATGAGTTGTAATTACAATCCTGACTTGGTGTGTCCCAGCTGTGTTACTGTGTACTGCTCTTCAGAGCATCCACTGATGAGTAGCAGAAAGCCAGGAGGGCCACAGTACCCCAGGCAAAGGAGTTGCAAGGGACAGCGGGCTGCTGCAGGGTCCAGTCCTGCTAGCAGGAACAGATTAACCCAAATGGGAGGGAGGAGCAGCTTCCTGTGGGGCAACTAGGGATTCCAGCACCCACTGAGGTGAAATTAAAATGAAGATGTAAGAAAACGGAGTACATGGGTCTTATAGTTGTCTGTTTAGACATTCAGGTATGGCAGTTGTATGCTAGCCTAGATTTCACATCAAATCATTGCATTCTCTTAGACGTCTCAGAGTTTTTATTTACTTTTATTTCAACAGTCGAGACCGAGTGACTTGGAGAAGTGCAGATGAACTTCCCTGGCTCTTCCAACAGCAGGGTGATAAGCAAAAGCTACATAAATGTCTTTTGAACCTCTTTGTATCCCAAAACCTTTACAAAAGGTACAAAGGTAGCCACTGCTTTGTCAGTTACTAACATTTCAAAGCAATTTTTTGTTAATATAAATCAGAAAATTACAGGTAAAGGTTAAAGGAACTTAGATAGTAGAGGCTGAAATGCAAAATGCTGTTGTCCTATAAATAATGTATTTTTTCTATTCTGTTACACCTGGGGGTTGGTAAAGGGGTAGATACTACTGTTGAACAGCATTAGTCTCCATGGATTGTCACTGTCGACAGTGTAACAAAGACAAAATTAATGCATATGGCCCCTTTCTTCTAAGCTAGTATCAATCTGAATAGAGAGGCATCAGAGATAAGATGAGCTTCTTATTTCCTTGTTAAAACAGGGGACATTTTGCAGAATTGCTGAGTTACTGGCAGCTGGTTGGGAAAGATAAGAGCTCTATGGCAGCTGAGTATTTTGACTCTCTGAAAGAATATGAAAAAAGCTGTGAGGGAGAGGAAAGTATGATCTGCCTGGCTGATCTTTATGAGACCCTGGGACAGTTTCTTAAAGACCTAGGTCTTCTCAGTCAGGTAAGTACATTTAGAGATTGTTATAATAGCAAGGAGGCAAATGATGCAGAACTCAGTGTGTGCTTTCTGTGGCAGCTGCTAAATTATTGCAGCATAGAGGATGCTGCCTGCTGCCATCGTATTCTTAACTTCATTGTTACAGGCTGTGGCTCCTCTGCAGCGATCTCTGGAGATTCGAGAGACTGCGCTGGATCCAGACCACCCGAGGGTGGCGCAGTCACTCCACCAGCTAGCAGGAGTTTATGTTCAGTGGAAGAAGTTTGGAAATGCTGAACAGTTGTATAAACAGGCACTGGAAATCTCTGAAAATGCTTATGGAGCTGAACATCCTCGAGTAGCCCGTGAACTTGATGCACTTGCAACCTTGTACCAAAAGCAGAACAAGTAAGCTTAACTACACTGGTATTTTTCTGTCATGTGGAGTTGGTACAAAAATTGCAGTGAGGGTTTTCTTCCTGAAGCTAGACTATTTCTTTGGTTCTGTTTTAGAGTTTCATAATTTCCCATGCAACTCGGAGCATCCCCTATGTATTCTTGTAGCAGGCCACCTAGTAGAGACCAACTTTGGGCTTAGTTTTCCAACAAACTTCTAACAAGTTAGAGATAAAGGAAGAACATTGTCTTGTCTTAAGCATTGTGTTTATTTTTATGCTTGACAAAAAGCATGAATTTCTTCAAGATTCTTAAATTCTTCTCAGATTCATATTTTCAAGTAACTGAGAATCTTTCCAGAGTACCCAGTGATGCTACACTTGGCATTCTTTCTAACATTGTAAGTAACTGTTTTCAGATATGAACAAGCTGAACAACTGAGGAAGAAGTCCTTCAAGATACGCCAGAAGGCAGCAAGGCGGAAAGGCAGTCTGGTAAGGAAATGTTTGGTATTTGGTACAAATGCAGGGAATGTTGCTTCTCTGCTAATCTGATGCTCAAATGCTTTTGGGAGTTGAGGTCTTAGGTAGTGAAGTAGCCTAACAGCAGCTTTGGCAACTCCCCTTTCAACTCACTGGAGATGCAGAGGAATCAGTACGACTGGTATGGAATTGAGAGAGGTGGAAAAGAAGTAAGTGGATATATACATTTTGGGGGTGCAGAATTACTGCTGATAGAACTGGCTGTCAAAATAGCAATGGAAAAAGGTGTTCTCCAGAATAACCAAGGCATTTATCCTACAAATGCTGGTGAACACAGTGCTTGCTGCAATGGATAATCCCAGTAACAATATTAGTTGCCATACCAAGTTTTTCTCTCTTCTTCTTCTGTGTGTTTCAGCTACAGAGTTCCTCATGCCATTCATGAAGTAAGGGTTTGCTTGTTAGGTAGTGCTTGTACTGTAAGAGTTCAGCTAGTAGCTCCAGAGATCTAGCTGTACCTCTAATGAAAGTAGTGAAAAAACAGCAAAATGTTGCTATTTCCACAGTGCTTAAATATAAATAAATTTGGATCATGAAGGTTTTGTCCATTTTTTTATAAGTTCTGTTGCAGAAATAAGACTGAAAAAATCAAGAATAGGTGGAGCATGTAACAGTGGCTGCATTTTTTACTTGTAATTCACTTTGCATGTAAGTATTAGCTTGGCAGCCTATTTTACAAAGAGCCTTGAGTAATTCTTTATATGTATTTGTGTATGACAGGGTAGGAGATTTAAGTTGATTTTCAGTTTTGAGCTTATAAACCTGTGAGTTTAATTTGAATGGGTTATCTGAATTGCAGAGTTTTGGCAAATTAGCATGTATGATACAGGGAAAACAGAGCTTTAAGACATCACAGTAACTTAAACTTCCTGGAAGCATGTTTGGTGAAATTCACTGCTTAAGCAGAATACCTGTGTGTCATTTATCTTGAAAACAGAATTTAAGTGGGATGCTTGTGCTCTTGTAGTACCAAACAGAGTCCTCTGATTTTCTGTCTTCACTTTTATGCTTAAAAAGTACCAGTGGTTGCCTTACATTATCTTGTGCTTTGCTGTAGTGTGGCTTTGCTCTCCTGCGTCAGAGAGCCCTGCAACTGGAAGAGCTCACATTAGGCAAGGATACACCAGACAATGCTCGAACCCTCAATGAGCTTGGAGTCCTCTATTACCTGCAAAATAATCTTGAGTAAGTTGTATTAAGTATGATACATCCACTGAGTATTGTCATACATCTAAATGGAAGCAAAGCATTGAGAACGAGTGTTAGATGTAGACACATGATCAAATAATCATTACTGTGCCCTTCTTGATTTGTTCTAATTGTAATTTTGAAATTACTGGGAAATTCACTCATATTTTCTAAAGTTGATGCTGTTAGCAGTGTGAGTATTCACCAAGTCATTGCATTTCCTGCCTTCAGAACTGATGTTCCACAATTAAATTTAACCTAGCCTTCAGTGGAAATACCAGTTCTCTCTTGAATTTATGACCTCTCTACTCAGCTTCACTATTTTGTGACCATTCTTTGTAGTGTTCATACTTGAACACTTGTAGTGTTCAATACTTGAACAGCAGGATTGTTGTGAAAAAGACTCAAAATGCCAGTATTATAAGAAATCTTGAGTCAAATACTCAGTGTGCTTGTAATCCTCAGGCTCTTACCCTGTTGATCTCTTTAAGGGGAAAAGAGGACAGAGCAGCACAAAGCAGATAGAGATAAGCAGGGGTGCTGAAGAAGGGGAGCAAGAGGGTCAGAGCCCTTCTGATTGCATGGTTGGCCACTCTTCACATAAGCTCCTTTAGTCCACAGCGTAGTCTAAAACTTTGTGTTGTGAGGGTATTGTAAAGTCACCATAAATCCCACTCAACTCAGTCTTTTCAGAGAGGAAAGAAAGTGCACAGCAAAAAATCACAAGAGTAAGTTCTGAAGTGTTTTTATGTTCTTCCTATATCTGGTATTTATGTCACCAGTAGCTGTTGAACCACTACAGAAGGTTGTCATAATTTATGATCTGTGCACACAATGTCTGTTACATTCAGGACTTTCACAGTGACAGAACTGATTTTTAAGTCACACTGAAGTGACTGAACATAAAGGAGTGAAATGTATCTAATCTCATACAAGATAATTTGATATTCCACGTGATTAATATGTAGTTCCTGTGCAACACAACCTGTTGTTAGAGTAACTGCATCTTCACTATTTCATAGGAGAGCAAAACTATGAACTGTTCTAGTGAAGGTTTAAGTTATTTTTGTTGGACGTTTTGTTTGTTCTGAATCACCAAGTCCAAGATTGAAGAATGAAATCAATGACAAAAGAGTGTGTCACGATATTAATGGTTGATTGTGTATGCCACTTCATCCTCTATCCCTTACATAAAGGGAACACATAGACACTTGTCTAAGAACTCCGGAATTGAACCTACCATTCTGTTTATAAATGGTCTTTTCTTCAAAGTGGATTTTTTAATTTGCTAAGATGACCTCTTGGGAATAGTGTCACGCAGAATGTGTGTGTCTATCATGATGGCAAACTGCCTGGTTACCCTGGATGCTACAAATTATTTTGTGGGTTTGTAATAAAGGAACTTATGTAAATTTGTAATGGAATAGTAGTATGCTACTCTAGGGAGATAAAATATGCCCTTTTCATAGGGAAATGCTTGAATGGCGGCATTACACAGAGGCTTTTCTACTTTGTCACTTCTAAACTGATTCTGCTGTGTGACACATGACATATATAATACTAATTCCAGTCTCTCCCTCTTTGGTATGAAAGCTGTCTACTGAACCCTACAATATGTTTTATATTTTTAAGGTTGCTTGAAAAATGTGTGGTGTGTTCTGAACATTTACTTCCTATTCCACTACTGTTGATCCATGGAAGTGCATGACTGGTATGAGGAGATGCCCAGAGAGTAGTATTGTGGTTTTTTAATAAGGAAGGATAACTTGGATATCTGAAGGTGTAGGTTGAATTAAATAAATTAGCAGCTTTTGAAGTAATGTTTGCTGAAATAGGCTAGACTGGCATTTTAGTCCTTTTACAGGGGACAGGAATTTATTAACCAGCTCTCTGTCTATGTTCTTAGTTGGTATGTATGGCAGGACTGTGTCTGGGATGTATAGTTTCTCACTGCATAAATGAATTGCTGATCTGGCCTTTGCTTATTCTGAGGAAAGTCTGTTACCAGGTATCAGTATCTGTGCAGTTTCCAAGGCTGAGTTTGTTCTGTTTCAAACAGCCACATCAGCCTGTATAAATGTTACCAGCTTTAAAATATTGCTGAATGAATGTGTCCTGCAGGACAGCAGAGCTTTTCCTGAAGCGCTCCTTGGTAATGAGAGAGAGAGTCCTGGGACCCGACCACCCAGACTGTGCACAGTCTTTGAACAATCTGGCAGCCTTGTACAATGAGAAGAAGCACTATGACAAGGCAGAGGAACTCTATGAAAAAGCTTTGGACATCAGGAGGAGAGCACTGGCTCCAGATCATCCCTCCTTGGCTTATACTGTGAAACACCTTGCAGTGCTGTACAAAAAGATGGTGAGCATAAGCCTGTTATCTTTTGGCATCACCTAAATTAACTGTGATGCCACGCGTTGTTAACAGTCTTCAATCCAAAAGGAGTGGGGCATGGGAATTTTGCCACATACTAGGGTTCTACACACATGCATAAAGATGTAGTTACACCTCAGTCTGCTTCCAAAAAGCCCGGTAGCTTTTTCAAAACATGCTTTGCTAGAAGAAAAGCTATTTAATGTCTTCAGTGGTCTGCATGCTTATTATTCACCACAAATAATTTCTGATTTGGTTAAAAGCTAGCATTTTGGCTGCAGTGAGGGAAGCTCTTCCCAGCTGTATTTGAGTTCACTATTGTCTGCTACAAGAGTTGGGCAGATGTATCTTGATGAAAAAATAGTGTTTTAGGGTGCAGGAATGTTTCTTTTTACACCATGGCCTTGAACCATACAGTAAACTTGAATAACTTGAAGACTTATACAGGAGATAGTACTGTACAAATAAACTGTCTGGCTAAGCCACCTCTAACTTATCTTGATTTGATGAAAGATGAGTTACTCCCCTGTAAAATGCACTATGGGGAGTAACGTTTTATGAGTATTTGTGTCTGCAGATGGTCACTTGAACCATTCCATATTGTTAATGTAAGAGTGATGTAAGGTTTCCAGCTGTTGAACCAAGATCAAATTCAGAGGCTGACAATATTTTTCTTTTATATTTTCTACATTATACCACTCTTCAAGGAGAAGAGGGTCCTTGAAGATGACCTCTTGGATCAAATGCTTCTATGTTTTCTCCGTTATGGTTACCTCCTATTATGTGCTTGAAATTGTTTTAGGTAACATTCTCTGCCCACTTCAGCTTCTAATTTTCATGCTGCTGGAAACTGCAAAAGTATTCAATATTTGTGTCAAACAGCTCTTTCCTAGTTTGAAGGAGCACAAATTAAAATTCATAGTAAACTAATGACACAGGGAAAAGTGGAGGAAGAAAAGGGGAAGGAATCTGATATAGAAAACTGAAGTTTTTTATAAATAATTATTTATTCCAGATGAATTGCTGATAATCTTCAAACTGTGGCAAGGTAATGCTTTGAAAAAGTAAGGAGAAAATGTTATTTGTATTTTGCAATTACAGTGAACCATTTTTCAATGGAATTTTCAGTATTTAATTTCTAATTGCTATTAAATATGAGCATTCACATTCTAATAACAGAAGCTTAAACATACTTCTGAAGTATATCCAGTTAATACGTGAACAGATGCAAATTTGGAGGAAAACAGATTTGCTGGGAAAATAATGTAAAACTGGCTGGAATATGAGAGGGGTATTTTAGAGGAATGGAGGTAAAGAAGCCAGATTCTCAATACGGTGAGTGAGAAGCAACAGACACTTGAAATTACGTTGGCCACTGTGGGGCTGTTCCAAAGAGGGTGGTGTGAACACAACTTCAGTGAGCAGCAGAATGCTCAAAAGTTAAGGCAGCTACATTCCTGTTCCCATATCACCAGTAAAACTAAGTCCCTTTAGGACAAAAAATGAGATCTGTGCTCTCACTTATGGCAGGATGAGGAAATCCAAATTGAGAGAATTATTTGGGTAAAAATACAGCTGAAAAGGTTTTTTAAGAGCCTTTTCCATGAGACTCTTGGGGGGGAAATTAGAAATAGACATAGCTGAGAAATACATTAACACATAACCTTATAGTTAAATATGCTCATTTTTTTTAATTAGGTCCTATTACATGTTCATGATAAACAATCTGTGCAGAATATAACTACAAATTAACCAAAATTAAGATCTTATTCTAGAAGCAGTTACATATTTTCCAGGGTTTTTTGTTTAAAGTAGGTTTTACTGTTGCCATTTTGACACAAGAGAACAAAATACTTTTTTTTTCCTGGTATTTCTAGGGAAAACTTGACAAGGCTGTTCCTCTCTATGAACTAGCAGTTGAAATTCGACAGAAGTCATTTGGCCCAAAACACCCTAGTGTAGCAACTGCTTTGGTGAATTTGGCTGTCCTTTATTGTCAGATGGTAAGTTTTTTCATGTTGTACATATTTATTATTCCTGTCTTAGATTTTTTAAATTATTTGTACCTAAATGATACTGAAGAAAATTGATCACAATGAAAAGGCAGTATCCTTATAGGGCCTGCAACTTCTTCAGTTCCATTTTAAAAATGGATATTTGGCAAGGAAAATGTAGGCAGGGAACAGGTAATTGCTGTGATTGGTATTTCACAAGAACACTCGGGCTAATTGCTGTTGAGGTAATTCAAAATGGCCATGTTTTGTAAGACCAGAGCTGGAGTACAGCATTTTCAGTGATATGGCAGTTACCACAGTATGATACACCACAGCTCCCACACTGATGTGGAGGGAAACATAATCCTTTGAAATTTATGTTCCTGAACAAAGAATGCCCACTTCAATCAATCAACTGCAACTCTGTGTAACTAAAAATCTGAGAAGGCTGAATACTTCCTAGTCCACAGCCCACATGAGATTCAAAGGAGTTGCAGTCAACTTGACAAATTCCTTATTTAGCATCAATAGGAATGAGTTGTAGTGGTTTCCTTGTTTTGTGTATCTGATTTTAAACAGGGAGTAAAGCTTCCTTGGGTAAAATTAAAGAGCATTTGATAACGTAAAACTTTCAGGACTGAGATTTTCAAAACTGCTTAAGTCCATACTCTAATTATTATAATAGTTGGAAATGCATTTGCAAGTACAAACCAATTGTTTCAGTACTTAAAGGGTGACTACAAAGAAGATGGAGACTCCCTGTTTACATTAGGCCTTACAAGACAAGGCATAATGGGCACAAGTTGCTTCTGGGGAATTCTGATGGGACACGAGGTAAATTTTTCACCATGAGGACAATCAAACATTGGAATAGTCTCCTAAGGGTAGTGGTAGATTTCTCTACATGGGACAGTTGTAAGTCTCAGCTTGACAGGGTGCTGAGCCATCTCATAGAAACTATAGTATTACCTGGAAAGGTTGGACCAGATGATCCTTGAGGTCCCTTCCAACATGGCATTCTATGATTCTGTGAATTGTTTTGACAATCTCAATTATCATCCTCATTTGTCAAGAGTAGTGAGGACTTGGAACACATTTGTGGTTAAATATACATGACTTTGTATCTAGGATGTGTTGATACTATGTTCAAAAAAAGAACAGCAAATGTAATGTACATCTGTAACAAACAACTTTTCTACTACCCAAAGAAAAAGCAGATTGAAGCTTTACCTCTTTATGAACGTGCTTTAAAGATTTATGAAGACAGCTTTGGTCAAATGCATCCTCGTGTGGGGGAAACTCTGAAAAACTTGGCTGTGCTAAGGTAAGATTATATGCTTTAGCCCTATAAAAGTGAATTACTGTAAAAATTACTAGATGAGACAAAACATCCTGGATTTGTGTATTTATTAGGAAAGTAAAGAGCCTTAAGTACACTTTGTTGAGAGCATAGTGTGCATTTCAATTTAAATTGAGAGAATTGTTTTATTTGCTTGTTTCAACTTTGTTTTACTCTTCTCCAAAGCTATGAAGGGGGAGACTTTGAGAAGGCAGCTGAACTTTACAAGAGAGCTATGGAAATAAAAGAAGCAGAGACTTTGTTGATAGGTGGAAAAGCAACTTCTCGACACTCATCCAGTGGAGATACATTCAGCTTAAAAAGTGCATTATCTCCAAACATTTTCCTGGAACATGGACAAAGGTGATACAAACCAACTTAAAGAAAAGGCAATCTCTCTTGCTATTTTAAAGCAGACATAAAATTATTAAGAAAATCTAGTTTTCCTAGGATAATGTACTATTTTGGGTCTGACACCTGTCTTCCTGAATGACAGGGAAATAAATGTTAAAAGCTTGAAATCCTTCCACATTACTTTTGCAGACTGTATGGTACGAAGTGAGCTGCTTTAATTGTATATAGATATGCATATTAGTTACTAGATCAAGTTCTAGCTAATACCAAAAAACGTGGATTTGATACCTCTTACTCCAAGTGCCAGGATTGTAATAAATCAAGTTGAACCAATTGTATATATTCTATAGGGTAGTTCTTATTTCTGTTGTAGTAGCCTGGCTTAGAGCATTTGTATATTTTTGTTTCATCAATCATTTCTGCCTTTTCAAATGCTTTTAAAGTTGCTAAAGAGATGGTAAATTTGAAGAAGTAAAAATACCATTCCACCCAAAGCTTTACCTTGCAGGGCTTTCAGCACACAGATTCAAGGGACTTGTGCAAAAATAATTGGGAAGCTAATCTATCTAAAATACATCATCATCTACAGTTAAAGCTGTTGTCAGATTCAACTGTGTTCAGTGAAAATAATTCCAATGGGGAATTAGAGTGAAGATGATTATGACCTGGTTCTCTGTTATTAACCTTTTAGCGATATGGTCACTATTTAGTCTCATTGAATCTTTTAAAATACAAGAATGTCTGTGTTAGCTGGAAAAACCTAATGGTGCAAAGTAATTTGCCATCAAATAGAGATGGTAGTCTACCTGCCTGTTGTATTTCTTAATACCCTAGTCAGCTGGAAGAATCAGTTTGGAGTCTGCCCTCATTCAGTGCATAAATCCATGAATCAATTTAAATACACAGTATAAACAGGCTGTTCATAAAAAAAATTGAAATAAGCGAAAAAATAATCAAAACCTCACTATAATGTTTCAGAGGCAACTGATGTTAAGATTTATTCGATCCAGTTTAAAAATGCAAATGGCTTCTACCTCAAAGGGGTACTTACCTTCCAGTCTTTTTCTTCTTTTAGAGCTAAATCCCTCTCAGCGCTGGTTCCAGTTAGAAGGAACTTAATATTTTGGTAAGACTGTAACTTGGCAAAAGGAAAGGCATATAAAACTGATAAAACAAATCTAGAACAACCCAAATTTTATTTTTATGATTAAGAGTTAGTTGGAAAAAAACTCAAAAATAGCTCTTGAAACTATTACAATACAGCAACAAGAGTTTACACTTTGTAGTAGCTTTCTGGGTATTTTCCTCTTACTTTAGAAAATGGCTTTTTAATGAAACAAAAGTTTTCCCACTCTCTTCCAGCCACCTGGAAAACTGGAAAGTTCTTTGCATCACTGTTACCAAGAAATAAGCAAAAGGAAAAAAACAACCACAACCAAAACCAAACAAAAAAACCGACCCCAAAAACCAACAAATATTTTTTTCCCAAAAACCTCAACCTCAATATATTTCTGGTGCCTACTCTTCTCACACCTGATAATTCCATGTTATCACTCATCAGCTGTCTAGCTTGTCATCTCTGGTCTGGTTTTAACACGCATGATCTTGCTCTCCTAAATAGTTGTCCTTAGTGTAGCTAGCTTACATAATAACTAGAAAGTAACTTCTTAAGTGTTATATCAGACTTTGCCCATTTAGTGATTCTCAATTCTGAATGGCTGCTATTCTTTCCTTAAGTGACTTCTCTCCAACCCGTTCATATGTTGCACAGTTGCTTTTGGAAGAAAGATCAGTCCCTAAAAAGCAGCCAATCCCAGCCATCCATGACCTATTAGGAGAGATGGTGAGGAAACAACAGACTTACTCTGTCTACCCAAGGAAAGCTTTCTACAGCAATTAAAACAGAACTACAAGTAATAGTGGAGGGTATTCAGGCAGCATGTTGGCCATAAGCTGATGCAGATATAGTCGTAGCACTCTTAAGACAATTGTTCATGTATTTGTAGTTGTACCTCCTGGACATTAAAAGAAAGTTAATTTGTAAATCTAGTGTATGTCAAATAATACTTTGTAGAACTCCACCTCAAAACACTGTCAGCAGTTTCAATGGAGATTTCACCATACATCTCAATAACATTCATGTTACACTGTAAACCCTGAAACCTGCTTGTATAAAAGGCTGCCAAATAGCAAAGCTGGACTGAACCATCACAATATACTTCATTAGTTGATAACAAAAAACCATCATAAGTCTTCCATTAGGTTTTATAGTTGGAGTAGATTATACTTGTAAATGTCTTTTTAATAATAAAAAAAAGACCTTTAAAGCCGTTTTGATTGATGCTGTTTATTTTGAAATAATTTTGACCATTGGCGCATACGATTATCTTAATGCATTTTCTAATTATTTCAAATTCTTCTTGTATATACAAATTGAAAGTCTGAAAGCAACACAAAAAACTGTTTTGTATACTCTGTAAGTGGGCATACAAAGTGTATTAATTTGCTCATAAAACTGTAAATGAAGTAAAATGGTAAACAGTTGCCTCTTGTAAAGCTGTCGATCATGTGATAGCAGCCATGTCAGCCAAATAGTTAAGAGTCAAGATTAATGGAGAGCTGTTGTAGAAATGAGTCAACCATTTGCCTAAGGAGCTCCAGAGCCAGGAATGTGCTTCACTTTTATTGTTCCCAGCAGAATCACACAGAGTCACAGAGGACCTCTGGAGATCAAGTCCAACCCCAGGAAAGGTAAAGTCACAAAGAAACCTAACACTTAAACTGACACATGGATCAAGCTAACATAGACTTATTGATGCAGATTCAAATATGTACTTTTTAAACTATCTCATTGTTCCTTTCCCTTTTTACAGTTCATTTCTAAATTCTGGTTTCTCCAAAACTGAACTCAATAAAAGGGAATAATCTTCCATTTTACAGTATAAAGCCACCCAAAACCTCCCTCACTAGCTTCAGAGATTATTTTTATGTAAATAATATAATCTAGTATCAGCTGTGGTGGAAACAAAATTTAAAAGTTTGTAAATGTTGCTTAGAAATCAAGCATTTTTAAACTTAAGCATTCATTCAGTTGCCCTAAGAAACAGAAGCACCTCCACACTATTACCTTATTTTTACATGTTGGTTGGATACTGCTACTACAATTACTAGCCGATTCTGTGTTGGCTGCATCATGCTGTGGAAAGGTTTTTTGAACAGCCCAAGTTAGAAATACTTGTCTTATACTGCAAAGGTTGATAATTACATTTTTCTAAGCCAAATTTAAATAATTATCAAGTTCTGGATCAGACACCCAGAGTGGTTAAGTTTGATTCAAATACATGCTTTCAGATCTGCAGCATACTGCCACTACAGGACATAGTGATAATTTAACTCGTGATAATTTAAACGGTAATATGACTGTACTAACATTATTTACAAGAAAAATACAACAGCTCAGCTACTCCACTGAAGGTATTTGCAACACTAAACACAGTTTAGAGCACCTAATTTTAGAAGCTTTTCTATGCAAACTCAGATTAAGTCTATTCCTTAATATAGTCCATGGGATGGGGATGAATAAGAATTCTAGCTAAACTTAACAAAAAAACAGTATTTAGATTTTCATGGAGATAGACAAAATCTCCTGTTCTTTCCAACATTGCTGGAAATTCTTACAGATTCTGACATGAAAAGCATCTGCCAGCTGAAATTGTAACAGTTAATAGCCAGTCTCCTGTTATCATTATTGGCCTTGTTGCAGCATACTAAAAGCATTATCACATACAGGCAGCTATTTAAGAACAAGCAGTAATACAACACTGATAAAAACAGGAAAATATAAAAAAAAATCCATCCCAGATATTTAAGGCAGATGAAAATGCTGAAATTTTCTATTTACTCAAAAAAAAGTAGCCACAGCATGATTCATGCCAAGAATTCACAGAGACCAATGAACAATGACTCTAAGTGCCTCGAAAATCAGGAGCAGCAGTGCAAGTGAGGCAGCATCACTTGCCCTTGACCTGTTCCATCTGCTCCAGCACCTTTCACTTGTCCTATACTAAGTACTCTTCTCATCACATGCTACTGCATGTCATGTGCTGTGCCTGCTTTTGTTAGTTTATCCATCTTCCTTTATTTTCCACTAAACTTAGGGACACTGACAATGCTGAGAAATTAACGTATAGTGGCACAACTCCCTGTGTTAAAGATGTGAACAGACAACAGGATATAAACAAGCCAGTTTTCTTTCCTTCCTGCCCCTGTAACAGTTCAATTTTGTCAGAAATGTAAAGATAAGCTTCAGTGGAGGTAAAAAAAAAAAAAAGGGAGTCTGGTCTTCTCAAAATTCAATGGAATCAAAACCCTCAAAAGTTGTAATTAATATTTGTTTTGCTACATGTTTCTCATTTTGGCCATGAGTTCTTCTAGGCTTTCTTCAGACTCAGTTACCGTTTCTTCAGTGATCAAATTTTCTTCCTATTAGGAACAGGAAGAAAAAGTTGGCAACAAAAATAAAAAACCCCCCCCACAAAAAAGCTTTATTCCTGTTATACCACAGCATTTTTCTAGAAATGGCCTAAATTATTATAAAGTTAAATTGTAAACTCTTTTCTGACTGGAAGTGAGAATGTTCTGGCCGTTCCCCAGATATACTAATTGCTCTGACTACGTATAACTTTTACAACATAAATATGGTTAAAATACTAGTCAATAAAATATAAACTGAGAAATTCACAGTAGCTTTCCCTTCCCTGTTCCCCAAAACCAGTAATTTCTATCACTCAACACTATATTCACACTAACATCCATACTGAAAAAAATAGATTCCATAGAAATCCAAAACTGAGCCATAGAAGACAGCATTTGGGTGTACCGAGGTAAAGTGTAACTGGAATTGTTCAAGATGGAAATGTATTTTAGGTTTAAAGGCTAGCCAAAATGACTGATATTATAAATTTAATCTATACAATGTATTTTTAAAATAACTGTATTCATAAAGAATAAATATATTACCTTGTTTGGAATAGTATATGCCACTGTAATTCCCTCAGGAAGCTCAGGTACTGGGCCAGATGCAGCCTTCAGCTCATCTTCTGACATTTCAGATACTAACTCGATGCCTTTGCATTAAAAGGAATTGAGAATTCCATTAGAAGTTAGTCTAAAAAGTTATTTAAGAACTATGTTCTCATAATACAAAGAAAACTGCAGCTCCTTTTCTAAAATAGAAAAAATCTAAAAGCAAAAAAACCTGATTTCACTTACTTTATTCTCATTATCAGTGGAAAGCTTTTTCCTGTTACAGTATATGAAATGGGTCCGTACTTGCAACCCATGGACAAGAATAGCACCTCTCCTGTAGGACTTCCTTAACTGTTTAAATCTTCCTGGGAGGACACTTGTCAGGCAAAGATTATTTTCCATATCATGTAATCAACAGAATGTATATATTAATTCTTGAAGCAGTTACCTAAAATGTGTGTATCATTTCTTAAGACAATTCTTTCTAATTTAAAGCCCTCATAGGAATAAAAAGATCTGTAGGGATGCCTGAGCACAGTGGTTATGGAAATGACAAATGCTCTTTCACTACATATTTAAAAGGAACACACAGTAACTACATCTTCTCATATCTTTCCTATCTTTAGACCATCTTCTGAGAAAGTTTTTCATTCAAATGGGGTTACATTTTGAGCCCCAAACCTGCACACTACACTAAAAATACATCATCAAGTTGTGGTAACACTACTGTCAAAACGTGTGAAAACTAGCAGAAACTACACATTTGAAGTTACAAAAAACTGGAACCATAGGAAGTCTGTGTACCCTAAAGTGTGTTCACCTAAACCAAAAACTTCAACTGAATCTCAATACCAGGAACATAATTTCAACTCCAGTTGATTATTTACCCCAGTCATTGTCTTCGTGTACTATTTCTTCTACCTCTTCAATTACTTCCTGTTTTGGTTGTGCAGCTTCTTTTTTCTGAAGGAAAAACAGAAAAAAAATACAATAGTTCCATTTTCATCAATAGCAAAGAAGAGCCAATCTAATGTTCACACCTCTTTTAATATTCAAGATATGCAGTCACCATTTAGAACTTTGTTAGGCATAAAAAGGCAGAATATCAAGTTAAAAAAAAAGCCAACAAAATAATACTCAAAAATATATGACTGCCAGAAAGGTTGAGCAATTACTGCAGAAGAAAGTATTATCTAACTGAATGAAAGCCATTCTGCCTGCCCTTTGCTTTAAGGTAATGCTAAGTACTGTATTTTTAAGCAAGTGGAACCACTAGAAGACAAGGCTGCTGAAAACTGGAGTAGTGATGGAAGTTTTCTTTTACTACAGGTCTGTGGCTTGCTTTTTCTTAAAACTTTAAGAAAGGGGGAAAAAAACCAAAAAGCCACAACTAAACCCATTTTTACCTTATAGATTTCTTGCTGTTTTCTACAGTTTTGGTCACTACATTGTGGATTTGGCTTCATAGACATAGTTGGAAAGAAATCCTGCATCGCGTTGTAACCAAGATAATAACTCACAGTGCCAAAATTTAACAGGTATCTAGAAACACAAAGAAAGCAGGCCCTTACAGACAGATCCAAGATTAAAAATTCAGTTGCTCAAGGAATATTTTTTCCTTCAAGAACTTCTGTAATACACTTTAACACTAGTGAAGTTGTAAAAAAGCACTGTAATTGTTTTAAAATAAGCTGTAATCACCTGACAACAGGATAACTGTATCAAGACAGTTCTTTTGCAGTGTGAATGTGAGAACAAGTCAGCTATATCTCAGGAAAAAAAAAAAGTTTAAATCATAGGATGGTCGGGGTTGGAGGGAACCTTAAAGATCATTTAGAGCCAACCCCCCTGCATTGGCAGGGACACCTCCTGTGCCTTAATCCATTGCTTGAAACACACATAATGCTCTGCATTATGAAAGGTGAGTTTTGAACAGCTGATCAGAACTAGTTTAATCATCTTTACTGTAGGACCATAGTGGCAATGAAAAGAGATTTAAACTAAGCTGCAATGTTTGCATTTTTCACTAAAGAAAAACACCTGTTGCCATGCAATTTTATACAATACCTCTTCACAGCTGAAAATGGCACCTAATTGTAGGCACAATTGCTAACAGTATTTTTATTCTTTGTAAGTAGAAATTTTTGGATAACTGAAAAAAACAGGCTAAGGCTAAAAACAGGCTAAATAAGATCCTGTTCTCAATGATGTTTGCAAAATGTGGTGCATAATTTGGTGCCAATGCAAAGTTGTTAAAAATTTTCCTTGCTGATATATGCAGTTCTTTTAGCAGCTGGAGTCATTTGTATATTTTCCAAAAGTACTGTCACATATCTCATATTGCTACATAATTATTTTTAATTAACTTCAGATTTTTAGACTACAAACACTGCAAGAGGAATTATTTCTTCTTTGTCTGTCTGCAAAATTTCAAAGAGAAATTAAAACTGCAGCTTTTTTCTGTATAATTTAGTGCTGTCAAATGGGGAACACATTTCAATGCAGGACTAAGGGGGTGGGAGAAGTGGGTGTGTATGCTGTAAGAAAAATTCTTAGGAAAACACTGAAGATTTTCCTTACTCCTGAGAAATTCTACTAAAAAAAGCAGCTTCTAAGTAAACACACCAGTGATTTAATCAGGGTGTATTATTTCAGCCCTGTCTAATGATTTCAATACCTTTAAGAAACAGACCACAAAATGTAGAAAGACCCAAACTGATCATTTATGAAACATTCCTTCAGTTTTCTTTCTCTTACAGTACTGCACATTGAACAGCAACAACTCAGTCACTTACTTCAGAACATTCTGTACAAGCATTCATGCCACAAGGAAGACTAGCTGCACAAACTCCTTCCCGTTTTAATGTTTTCTCATCAATATTTGCAGCAACTACAAGCGGAGGAGCACACTGAAGGCAAATAAGGAAAGTCGGTGTAAAAAAAGTATTAAAAAAGCCCCCCACAGATCACACACACAGCCTTAAGCCACTCCATCAGCTATGCCAGGATCACATTCACTAGCCATCTCATCTTCATACTCCCAGTCTCACTTCAAAAGACAAACGAGCAACTCAGCAGAGCTCTGCGTACCGCGAAACAAGCGGATTCACCAGGTATGATCAGCTGTATGTGTCCTGACACTGCATTTTCACTCACTCCAGATTCCATCCAGATTTGTCCAAGTTCATTGCAGGCCTTACAAACACAGAAACACACATCAGCACTGCAGAAGTTTAATGAAAAGAAATAGAAAACCCCACATTGTTAATTGAGAGCGATTAAACATCTTTCTGCTATAAGACAAAAAGGCAGTGATCAGGAAAAGGAACGTGAAAAGGTAGAATAGAATTGTTTCTGAAAGGAAAAATCAAAGGACAAATTAAAGTTCTCCTCATTAAGCCCTTTGTTTTTTCCCAAGGACCTGAGACTTCTGAACAAATACAGGCATTAGTGACCAGCACGCTAAGGAATCCAATTGCGCAAACTACTTTTAGAGGCTTGGATACAGTGTATCTGTGCACCTTCAGTGCATGCAACTTACAGATCAAGTTAGCTGAAGAGTAACAGAAAACATACATTTAGCCTAGACCCTACATTGGCTGCTACTATAAAGAACAAGTTTGATTAGGTACAGAGCCTTATGACATTTTTAGTATCTAAAAAGACATAGAACCTATACCATCAGTTATACTCAGTCTTTGAAAAGTTTGTAAAATTTAACATCAGGCTTTGATAATACCTTTATGTAAACAGGATAATTTGGAAAGACAGAGATGGGTTAAGTCACTTAACTCTTCTACTAAGCATTAGCTGCTAGTAACTTAAAAGTCTGCAGTTACATTTACACACGTAAAACATCTTTTATAAGAACTGGGTAAAAGCTCAGATTCTGTTTAAAAATTCTTGATAAATTCCTGTCTTTTCTTCCATTCCAATTCCTAACATTATTTATAAGAGAAAAAGACTCCCGCAAGCTCATGCCTCTGATGTCCTTACCGTGTTAATTGCCATGCGAGCTTCAAAGTTGTCCACACAGCTTAGAACAAGGTCGACAGGCTTCCCTTCCTCCAGTGCACCATTACTGAAATGAGGATCAGAAGTCTGCATCAAACTGCTGGCAAGAACAACACACCCATGTAGCAATCAACATGCTGATTCAGAGTACAGAAGCACATGGGAAATGTATTTCCAACAAAATGCATGCAAATGTGGAACAGGATACAAACAGCATCTCAGTTCTGCAGCAGAAACAACAGCATGCTGAAGCTGGGATTTAAATACATGGGCATTTTAGATTAAAAGAAGTTTTATACAGCATATTGGTGATTTGTATCTTTGTACAATGCAAATGGGAAAAGTTATTTCAGAACTTCTCCATGCACTTCACTAATAATTATCTTCTTTCTTGATTTTATAAAGCATGCCTGAAACTACTTCAAAGTAGCCAAAATATGGTCTGTTTTCTATAATGGCAAAAACCCTGTCAGACCTGAAGCTTTGGTTGGAAATCTAAAGATGCACTAACATAAAATAAAACTATGTAACTCTGTAACAGTAGAAATAAACACCAACTCTACAGAAAAGGACTAGGCAGGAATGTCTTCATATATACATATTTCCCATTAGTTTTCTATTGGAAGTCAGTAAATTGAAAAAAAACAACCATCCAACAATAAAAATATGAGACTGTACAGAACCGGAAATCAGCAGAAGTTGGTGATACACGTTTGCTGAGATTTTACCTTATTCTATGCATGAAGTGTTCAAAGTTGTCCAGTGTTGTGATGTTGTAGTTATGTACTTCAAATTGAACATCAGGATTAATATTCCTTAGAGAGGAAATGAGTCAATGTTAATAAATACAGTAACTTACATTCTACTCCCTAACTTCACAAGTGTTGCTACTGTCTTAAGCTTCCAATATGAAGTCTAGAATACACCCATATTTGTCAAAAATTCACAGATTATATGGGAAAAAAGACCCCAGAACACACTGAAGTGGCATAGTTTACACCAAAGTTCTGAGCAAAATTAGCTATACTTAAAAAGTCGACCCATGTTAAGGTCTTAGGCAGTACAAAAATGTCTTTAAAGTATCAATCATTCCCACAACTATTTTATACTCAAATTTCCAAATTAGGTCATGCTACTTTGCAAGTGATTAAGAGTGAAACATTGGCCTTCTGGAGCAGCATCCTGGGTAAATACATCTTGATACCCACTTCTCTAACTTTTACCTCAAAGTATGCTCTGCTGCTTGCACTTTACTTAATCCAGCTTGATGAGGTTGGAAGAAGAGTCTGTTCATGTTTGCCAGTTCCACTTTGTCATAATCAAACAGAAGCAGCTATAATAAAGATCGTATTAACAAATGTGAATCCCCAAAGACTCTGCAACCAGAGCACTATGGTAAGGCATTTTAAATCACAAAACTCATTCCAAAACCAACAATGAAACCCCCCAAACACCCCACTCCCACAGTCCCATTCAGTTCACATACAAAAGTTACGAACATTGTAAGGACCTGAAAGACTGAATTCTAACTGCTATTCACCAGAAACTAATTTGTTAAGTCATGAAAACCACTCTTAAAAAAAAGCAATCTGTTAATTTTATCTAAAATGAAGATATTCAACAGATTATCTACACAAACACTGGCTCATCTACTAGAAAGAAGTAGAAGAAAACTCTCATTACCTTACCAATGCCACATCTTGTCAACATTTCAGCAGTCACACTGCCAACTCCACCTACACCTACTACTGCAACTGTAAAGGTTCTGATTTTCTGTAGAAAGAATTGAAAGAGATCAGTATACCAAAAGTGGTTCCCCCAGGGAAAATATGCAAGGCTGATTTAATGCAGATAGATTCCTACCTCGTAGTCTTTGACAATTCCCATTCTTTTTAATGCCATCAAGCGACTACAAAGAAAAACAGCAACATTACATAGGAAAATGCTGTCTAAATTTCTAACAGCAATTTTGCTTTCCAGATACTTAAAATCACTTTTGCTTTGAAAATAACCCCACCAAACACCAAACTCAAGCCTGCTGTTTTCACTGCAGGTGTGACTACCAGCTACAGTCTAGATGGGTTAGTAGATGCTTTCCTCTTAGCAACAGCAATGGAGTACTAACTCTGCAGACACTCATGTATTTACTCAGTTGGTATATAAGGAATATCAACAAAATCAGGAGAACCCACAGCTGTTTTCATAAATTAATCCCTGATTTATAGAATGAAAGCCTACACTTAGGGGGGTTGGACCAGATGATCTTCAGAGGTCCCTTCCAACTCTGATCACTCTGACTCTTCTGTGTAATGAACCATATGGCAGCAGGCAGTGAAGATTCTTCCACTGTCCTCTGATCAATTTGATTAGACTAACTCCAACACAATACAAAAAAAACCTAAACAGGTTGTGAGGGTAACTGGAATAATTCTAAAGTTATGTTATCCTGCTAATGTTATCCTGCTATCGTGTTCTTTTTTCATTTACAGTATCAATGAAAGCACAACTATGAGCTTGTATTAAAGCAATTAATCTTGAAAAAAATAATGCATCAGATTTCCAGAACTGCTGAGCATTAGAAGGGGTGCCAGATGCTCAAGACCTCTCTAAAGGAAACTCTAAGTTAGAGGAATGAGAGTAGGAACTCAGGTAATACCAACACCTGTCACATTTCTTGGCAACTTGGCTGAGTTTCCTCCCACTCTCCATCTCCCTCTCCCCCCCTTGTACCGCACAGCAAGATGATACAAAATAAGCCAAAGTTACACTTCAGAAACCCAGTCAGGTGAGAAATTTGAGACCACCTCTCCCCACAGAGGGCCCAGCTTCAGCACTGCCCTGGCACACCAGCCCCACCCTCAGACCCCTCTCTGGACAAGCCTCTTCCCCTTCACCCAGGCCCACGGGCCCACCCCACGGCCTGGGCCCCCACAGTCCTTCCTCTACACCCCGACTCAGCCTCTGGGCCTCCCC